CATATCGATCCTTTCAGAGGGGAAAAATGAAAAACTTTGGCAAGATGTACATGCTTGTATTGATCAGTACTTTATATTTACATGGAGACGAATGAATTGGATATTTGGTTCAAATATGATGGATATCTCTAAGCATATTGCCACTAGGAAAAAATCACTCTACTGTTCAGATTCATAACTTTCCATAAACAGGTTTTACTTGATTTAAATTGGAGGTTAAGATAGCTTGATTTTTTTCACTAGGATTAGACTTATGTTTTACTTAGAAAGTCCAACTACCCATCTCTCAAATAAAAGAAAAATGAACCTAATTAGTGTGATGTGAATTTTCTGCTATACTTGTGCACAGAACTGGTTCGCCTGGCCTGTTACTGAGGAAAGAGATGACGTTTTTAAGAGATAGCATTTTTTTTATGTTAAAGAGATGGCGTTTTGGATTAAGAGATGACATTTTTTATTTATTAAGAGATGTCGCTTTAAATTATTAATAGATGGGATTTTTTATTTTAAAGAGATTAAATTTTTATATTAAGAGATGACATTTTTATTTTAAAGAGATGAGATTTTTATATTAAGAAATGGTATTTTTTATTATTACAAGATGTCTTCCTTCAGGTACATGGTATTTTTTATAATACCATGGATATGTATTTTTTTATCCACGACATTTAAAAAAACAGTAAACTCGGCCAGATATACGCGTCCGTTATCTATTATCACATACATACTAGAAGGAAAAATATCCATTTATGTAGCAAGCGGTAAAGAAAAAGATAGTACATTGTATATAGTGAAAAATCCTAAAATGAAATTATTTGCAGAAACAAAACAAAAAAATGCAAGAAAACATATTTCACATAAAATAAAGGAAAATGAAAATATAAATATAAAGCGAACCAGAAAAATGGATGACAGATAAAAAAATGTGGATACGAACCCATTCACACGCAGGCCCATCAAACTCTGGTCCAATCACCAAAAAGACGACAACCCATTCACTCCGACGACGACACGCAGTACCATTTGCAATCCATCGAACACATCTCCGCCGCCGCCGTCCGCCGTCGCCGCCGCTCCTGCGCCATGCTCCGCCTCCGAGAGTGCGTCGTTTCCCATCTCCTCTCTTCACCCTCCAACTCTGCTACCTCCCCACTCCGCCGTCTCCTCTCGGCCACTGCGTCGGCCCCCATTTCCCCAAATCCCTGTGGCTTCGCCGTGGAAGAGTACCTCGTCGCCACCTGCGGCCTCACCCGGGTCCAAGCCCTCAAGGCCTCCAAGAAGCTCGCCCACCTCAAGACCCCCGACAAGCCGAACGCCGTCCTCGCCTTCCTCTCCGGCCTCGGCCTCTCCGGCGCCGACGTCGCCGCCGTCGTCGGCAAAGATCCGCTGTTACTCTGCACCAAAGTGGACCAAACACTGGCCCCTAAGGTCGTCGAGCTCACTGGCCTAGGTCTCTCGCCTCCTGAGATCGCCCGCCTCGTCTCCCTCACCCCGGACCGCTTCCGGCGTAGAGCCATAGTCTCCAGGCTGCACTACTTCCTGCCCCTCTTCGGCTCCTTCCACAGCTTCCTCCGGCTGCTCAAGCGCTCATCCCGCCTTCTGTCGTCGGACCTTGATAAGTTGGTCAAGCCCAATGTTGCCTTCCTGAGGGAGTGCGGGCTAGGTGCTTGTGATATTGCCAAGCTGTGTATCGCTGTGCCGAGGATGCTGACCACCAACCCGGAACGCGTCCGCGCAATGGTGGCATGTGCTGAAAGATTAGGTGTACCTCGTGGCGCTGGGATGTTCAGGCAAGCGCTACGGGCTGTCGCGTTTCTCAACGAGGAGAAGATTGCCGGCAAAGTGGACTACTTGAAGAATACGCTCAGGTGGTCTGATGCCGAAGCGAGCATTGCTGTGTCTAAAGCTCCGCTGCTGCTGTGGAGGTCAAAGGACATGCTGCAGAGCAAGTCAGAGTTCCTGGTGTCTGAGGTGGGGTTGGAACCCACGCTCATTGCTCATCGCCCGATAATGCTCACTTACAGCCTGGAGGGCCGGCTCAGGCCCCGGCACTACGTTCTAAAGTTTGTCAAGGCAAATGGGTTGCTAGATCGCGATCGGAGCTACATCTCTGCAGTCGATTTGACCGAGAATGTTTTTGTGGACAAGTTCGTGCGCCCTCACATTGAAGTTGCGCCGCACCTTGCTGAAGACTATGCGGCTGCTTGCCGAGGAGAAGTACCCAGTAGGTTCATATTTCATTGAACCAGGATCCTGCTGTTAAAATGTGTAACTCTGTATGGCACAGCAAAGTTTACATTCTGTGCAGTAAACTGGTTAGTCCCCTTCCTGTGTTGTTCGCCAAAACAGA